TTCCTCAAATGCTATTGAAACTAGAAAAGTGTATACCAATGTCGTATGTAACTTTAGAGATGGTCCCTAGATTTGCGAATATCGAGTCCCGGTGTTCCGGCGAATTCAGTTTCCCTGTTTCCCCCTCACAGCGCCTGCGCAACTTCGCAGTGTTGCCAAGTCCGCGGTTTTCCAGCGGTAGTTTTTAGTAGCAATTGGGCGGTTTTTAAAAAATATCCTGGCAACCCTGAAACTTCAGTACTAAAATCATGACGTTATGATTTCGCCCCGGCTAAGCAAGTCAGCTTATGGTGGTTTTGCTGTTTTTCTGCAAGCAACGTTCATTTCACCATGTTATTTAGATCATTTATAATTAAATAGGTATTCATGTACATGACGTCCTGTTCAATCGCAACATAGAGTCAGATTTCCTGCTAATTCTAACTCTTTCCTGTTTTATGAAGTGTAACACCATACATTACAATTAGACAGTTCAATTCCTTCGTTAGGGGCATTCTTTTGTTCAAACACCCATTTCCATTGTATTGTTATTGTTGTTGTTAGTGTGTGTGTGTTTCTGAGCCTTCTAAATGAGACACAGCGATTAATACACCAGTGGGAGGCAGCAGTGCGCTAATGTGTTGCTAATGTGCAACAAAACAACAGAAGAAGAAATATGGAAGGTTAGAGAGCATGCGCAACAAGCAAGGGTTTTTTTAATTTGTGCGCCGAATTTGCTGAGACTGCTTGCATTTTTACCACTGGACAAAGACTGATTACTTCTATACAATAATAATAAGGTAAGTTTCAAAAATTAATTGTGTCAATGTATCTTTCTGTGTGCTGCTAATTTTAACTGACTAACCTTGTCAGCAGTGTTAGCTAACAGATACCAAAGATCTTTGCTATTCTGCTGTTAGAAAAAAAGACTGTAGAAATACAGAACTTGTGGCGTATTTTGACGAATTTAAGACTTTTTTTTACTTTTCAAACTGAGACATTTGTAGCTAGTTAAATGAAAAGTCAGAGGTACAATTCAAGAACATGCCAAACGTCGTCAAGATGAGCTCACAGTAGGTTTTAAAGTCAATATTTATGTGCCACTGATAATTAATTGTTTACATTATTTTATAACACTGAGGCTTTGGTCACTGAAGTTATTTTTAAGTTATTTTAATTTTATGTCAATATTTATAATACATCACATAGTCATTATGTGATCACACATTTAAGGTTTAAACTGAATGAGCTCTTTGTCTTGCAGTGTTGAAACACTTACTACTGTAATACAGAGGAGATGCTGCTTTTCAATTGGTTTTATGACCGAGGCCTCAAGTAGATATGTATAGAAATGTTCTTTCTTTCTTTCTTGTAAAGTATGCAAATATCAAGGAATGAATGTGTCTGTAATCTACAATTCACAACAATAGTGGAACTTGCCTTTAACTGAATAAGTATTTGTCATATTTAGGACAAGTGCTTGTGGCAGCTGTCTTCTCTGAACAGCAGTCTCATGAACACCGGCCTCAGTACACTGAAGGTAAGGTATTTCATGTTTAATCTCTTATACAGCAGTAGAGCAGTTTTTGACTCAATCATGTGCTACACTTTATTTACAATTTTAAATGATTTCTTGCAGATGAAGTATACATGTAACCACTTTATTGACACTTTGACAAACATATTTGTACTGTAATTTTTGAATGTCTTAAACTTGATTTTCTTTTTTTACTTCTAGAACCCAGATTTGAAAGCAGTGCACACCCATCTGAGGCCGACCTGTTTTACTTCATGATCACCCCAGATACTTCTACAACTAACCCGCTTTGTAAGTTCTCATAGCTACACCTTAAAGAAGCACATAATTTTGGGAAAATTTCCTGTGTATTTGCTGGTAAATTACTGAGATACTTTTATAAAGATTAATGTTGATTATATACCTAGTTCAACAAAGAAATGAAAATTATGCCACTTAATCTCCGTCCTGTCATTCCATCCCATAAAAAAGTGTGCATCTTCAAGACATGAATGAAGATATTAACCCCAAAACTCTGACACCCAAGAAACCATAAAATAAATCCATATGAATGGAGCCGTGTAATCTAGTTTTGGACCAAACTGTTCAATGAATGGTAAGGAACAGTTTCAGTTATATTCCAACTTGGTTAGACATAGTCTGATCACAAACCGTTCTTGATCTGGAATTATTAGCCGAACACACTGAACCGTGCTGTAGAATGCCTGGAGTGACATCGCTGCTCAGGATTGTCTTTTGTCTTTTGCTTAGCCAACAGTTTCTCTGTAGCTGGCCAAGCCTGCTATTTGAGCGAAGTAAACAAGTTAATAGTAAAATTAAATTAAACATTTAATCTTTCATGACGTGTGCCATTTACATCTAGGACCGTATTCTAACTCTTCCATTACTAAGGTAACGACTGACACATTTATGTTGCATTCCAAAGAGCTCTGTTAACAGCCCAACAGTGAAAAATTAAACCATATCCATGTTGGCTTGGGCCAGATCAGCACAAAATGGAATAGTTAAGTAACAAAAATGGTTTGGCCTGACGGTGGAAAAGCGGCTCAAATCTTTGGAAAAGACATGATTGCTATATGATCAACTGTCTAATGTTTTGGGTAAATAGACAGAAATATCTATCGGATTTCACTGAAAATGTCTTTATTTGTGTTCCAAAAATAAACAAAAGTCATGTTTGAGTAAATTATTACATACATTTCAAGTTTGGGTGAACTAACCCAATGGCATGGTAGTGTAGGCAGGACAGATAACACTGACAACTTATCATCCATATTTCCCTACTAATATTGTTTTTATTTGGTTGTATACAGGTGTCTGATGTTGATGCAGTCTGGGCACTAGTATTTGTTGGGTTGCTGACTATCATTGAAGATGAAGTACTTCTCCAAATCGTGTTTGGATCACTAGTACAGTACATTTGGATTACCCTAATACTGTGAAGAACACTTACAGTGTGATGCTTGACTTGGGACAGGAAAAAAAAAACATTGGCAACATGTGCGGTCAACTCAGTGCCATACTTATTCGTTGTACTGCTACCTCCACTGTTTACAAGAAGCATACCCTAAATCAGACTGTTTTTGCTTTGTTTCAAAATGTTTGTAATACAAGTTAAAACTGCACTGAAAAACAAAACAAAAATACATTACCTTTAACTTAGAACTTTCACTACCTTAAATGTATGTGTAATTGTATGTGTGTGATGAATGGAACATTGTTGTCAGTAATTTGTAATGGATGTTTGAAGCACTTAAGTTAGTGGAGTAACGCTTACTTGTTTTTGTTTTTTTAAGGCAATCGGTTTGCATGCTTTTAGCAAGTAAATCAGATTGCTGTTTAAGTAAATACAACTTAGAAATTCCAAGTTGCAGGAAATGTTACATGAGTTGGCTTAAATTAAATAAGAGTTGTTTGAAATACGCACATAGTATATTGTACTTATTCATTTAGTTGTTGAAAATAGTGATTCTGAGTTACCAGAACTTGCGTGTAAGTTTACAACACTAAATAAACCTTTGTTATTACAAATTATTATTCTTATTTCACTTTACTTGTTTTTTTCAAGGCAATTGGTTTGCATGCTTTTTTTAAAGTAAGGTTTACTAATTGGAATTTAAGGATATTTGTGTTTAACATTTAATTATTGCAGGTTTGCGTCATATTCTGAGTTGCATTATTTGTATTCATTTTGAGGAATACTGAATCTGTGTTTTTTTTTTTTGTGAGTGAGATGAATTAATGCATATTCATATTTATTTTAGAACTACAGTAACATCTTCTGATTTCTCTCAACATGGGGACAGGAGAGCTGTCAACCAATAAATTGGGGAAAAAAAGTAACTCCAATATTCTCTGTTAAATTAAAAAGTAATGCTTTACTTTGGTTACTTGAAAAAAGTAATCTGATTATGTAACTCGTGTTACTTGTAATGCGTTACCCCCAACACTGAGTGTCACTGCTACATACTATTTACCACATTGCAAATGGAGACCCACCCCCAGCACTCAACCTAAACTGGTCCGGTCTGCATGGCCATATCTCAGCCAAAATCAGACCAGCACTTATGGTCCGTAATCGGGGCGAATGTGGCTAAATGTGCAATGTCTCAGTGCAAATCGGGCCAAATCTGGCAACCATTACTGGGCCAGAGCTGGCTCACTTTTGGTGAGCTGCTTCCAGAACACAGCCGAGTGAGCCGACACTCAGCCGCAATTGGCCCAATTGCGCTGGCTAAGCTAAGCAGGGTTGAGCTGGTCAGTACCTGGATGGGAGACCTCCTGAGAAAACTAGGTTGCTGCTGGAAGAGGTGTTAGTGAGGCCAGCAGGGGGTGCTCACCCTGTGGTCTGTGTGGGTCCTAACACCCCAGTGTAGTGACGGGGACACTATACTGTAAAAAGCACCGTCCTTCGGATGAGACGTTAAACCGAGGTCTTGACT